CTCTGCCACCCAGACTCCCGGCCACCGCAGCCTCAATCTGCAGGGCTCCGGTGATCCTTCCACCTCAACCTTCCAAGTAGCCGCAACTACAGGCGTGCGCTACCACGCCTGGATAATTTTTTTTTTTAATTTATTGTAGAGACGAGGTCTTGCCAAGTTGCCTGGGTGGATCTCGAACCCACGGGCTTAGGCAATCCACTCGCCCCAAAGTGCTGGGATGACAGGGTGAGCCACTGAGCCTGACCTGTGGCATGTCTTGAGACATCCTAGTGGAGGGTCCCCGGGCAGCTGGAACCTGAAAGAGGCGGGGTGGGAGAGGCTGGGGGCTGGACTTTCCAAAGGAGTCCGTGAAGAGTGACCAGGGAGGCGGGAGAGCATGGGAAGTCCTTGGGGCTTAGGGAGGAGGGGACTGTGCCTGGTGCACGGCCGGGAGGACAGGACCGGGAAGGGCCAGAGCCTTGAGTGCCGGAACTGGGTCCGTGGGGTGGGTGTGGGGGCAGATGCAGAGTTTCAGGGTGTGAGGTTGAGGTGGGAGGTGTGGACGGGAGGGCGGTGAGTTACAGGTCTCCCAGAGTTTAGGGGACAGTGAAGGGGAGCCAAGGGGTAAGAGGCCAGCCTGTCTGGGGAGCCAACCCCAGGGAAGAGAATGCCTGGAACCAAAGGAAAGGAGACTGGGAAAGGAGTTGGGGTGGTAAGAGCTTGGGAAGGTGGCCGGAAGTGGGGCAGGGGTGTTTTTCTTTTTCTTTGAGTTGGAGTCTCACACTGTCGCCCAGGCTGGGGGGCAGTGGCACACTCACGGCCACCCCAGTGACAACCTGCTGGCTCCGGAGATCCTGCCGCCTCAGCCTTCCAAGGAGCCGGAACTACAGGCATGCACTACCATGCCCGGCTCATTTTTTTTTAATTGTAGAGACGAGGTCTCGCCAAGTTGCCCGGGCTGATCTCGAACCTCTGGGCTCAGGCAATCCACTCAGCTCCGCCTCCCAAAGTGCTGGGATGACAGGCTGAGCCAGGGGTGGCTTTCTGAGATGACAGTACACAGTGCCAAGGGGCCTGAGGCAGGGGACCCAGGGCTCTCGGTTTCCCGTCGTCTGCCAGTTCCTTCAGCAAGCATTGCCTGCCCCTACTGCCCGAGCAAGGCCCGGGAGGTGCCGGCGACTCATCTCACCGTGTTCCGCAATAGACGAAGATCTGGGCGGGGCTGGAGCAGGCAGGAAGGCTTCCCGGAGGAGGGGCCCCCGCGCTCACTCTGAGCATCAAAGGCCAGGCAGCATTTCATAGGGTGTCCCTGGAGTCTAGTCCCC